CGGTAGTAGTATTTTCTTCAACTTTAAAAACTTTTTCTTCATTAATTTATGATGTTAGTTTGTTTAGATCAGTTCGTTTAGATGTTATGATTTATGTTAGGATGTTATATTGTTAATTTCAATACATCTTTTGTAAAAAAGAAAAGTTTTATTTAAGATGTTTAAAACAACCATAAAGCAGAAAAGAACAAACAAAATTTTTTTCATTACAACTCAAAATAAGAATTTTAAAATTATGCGTTAATTTTGGAGCGAAGTGTATTTGAAAAACATAAATAACATAATTTCCTATATTTTTTCATTTGCAGTTTCCACTCATTTATATATGCAATTTAGCACATATTGACACATTTTTTGACTTAAAATTTTATATAGGATAGATGTATTTCTATTTGATAGTTGTATCCTTGCAATTTACTCGTAGCTGTCTTTTTTGCTCTCATTTATGAAGTTCCTAGTGGTAGGGTAAGTTCTCTAATATTCTAGTCCTAGTGTTTTCTTCATAATCATTGATCCTTAAAGACTTTTGGTCTCTTAATCTGGCTCCTGATGCTGTTAAAATTTCATAAACTTGGACTTGCTTTCCCTGGCAAAGTTAACTTTTTCTGCTGCAGTTTTGAACATACTACTCTTATATTATATTGTAGATATAATTGCAACACCATCATCATCATCATCTTTGGCTCTACAATTCTGGGTGGGTCTTGACCTGTTCAAGAATTAGTCTCCATTTCTTTCCTATTTTTGACCCCTAGATTCCTCAAGTCATCCTCGACTTGAGTTTTAAATCTAGATATTGGCCTGCCTCTCTTCCTGGTTCCTACTGGCTCTTGATATAATTTCTGTCTTTGGGGATCTCCAGTGTCCATTCTTTCAAGGTGTCCTAACCACCTTAGTCTATTAATTTTAATAGACCGGACAACGTTGCATTTTCCACAGCATTGATACAACTCAAAATTGTAGCATGTCAGGACAGGTTTAATAAGAGTTTCATATATTAGTATCTTGGTTTTCTGCTAATTATGTCTGATGTTAAGAACTGCTTTAGTCCAAAGTAAGCTCTGTTCGCCAGGCATATTCTTCTCTTAATTTCTACGGTTACTGGGTTGCTCCAGTTGTGTTCAAAGATATATAAACTCCGAGACCCCTTCCAATGCGCAACACAATTAGCGTAGGTTAATATTTGATCTTATTATTCATAAAGTCCTTAAAAAGGGTTCAAATTGTTACAGTCCTTTGGTTTCAGAGCACTCTGAAAGTTCACTATTGCAAGTATGATCTACATACTTACGTTACTAATTATCAGTTTAATTTTTAAATTAAATTATCCCCTAAATAAGGTGCAGGTAAAGTCATATTCATTCTTTATTAGTCATCATCTACACTTCACTTGATTTAATATCAAATGTTGGCATTTAAACAGTTTATTATCTATTTTTTATTTTATTTCTCTTTGGTTTATTACCCATTATATTCTATTGGTATTAATAAAAGATAGCATTACTTTCGGAAGCCATTTATATAAAGTAAAATAAAAAATATGGCCTATTATACTATTTTCCCATAATTTGCCGAAATTTCTTAATAAACTTAAGTTTTTTTAACCCATTAATATTCTAATACTCGAATCTACGAATCATCAAGCATCAAACAACCTCAATAAAATTCTATCTAGTCGAAACATCTACGTTTTTTGATTTTGATTCATGATTTCCTCTTCTATGCTCCAGAGGACCGATCTAATTAAAAATACAAAATTCGTATTAATTATTCTGTTGTGTTCATGAGTTATGTCTCACTTTTTTTGGGAAATTTGTGTTATGAGACTAACTGTACCAAACAATGAGATGTTATCTCCGTGGCTTTGTTGAGCTTCTTTGATTCGTACTAAAATTATTATTGGATTAGGCGCAGGGACGGACCAGCCACAAATTTCACGATTCTTGAAAATTGATGACACGATTCAACAATTCATATTTATCCTACATAAACGTTATTGCTACATAAATATGTATGCAATGTTTGTATAAATACTTTTTACAATTATTGCATCCAAACGATTACAGCATTATCCGTCCATTTTGTGGCACTTTGGCAATTAATTAATTAAAAACAATGGGTTTGAAATTACAAAATCGTCATTGTAAGATCTCATCCCAGAATGTTGGTTAGATTCTTGAAAAATTGACACAACAGTTGTTCGGGAAGTCGATTCCTCATTGCATTGTATGATATAAACATTAAAAAAATAGAGCTTTCATCTTTAATACAGCATTCTCATACGAGCATACACCTTCAGTCATTGATCATAAAACTATCTTGTGTATATTTCCAATATTTTCTTCTGCTTTTGCTCTATTTCTTTTTTACGTAGATTATTTTCAATTGGCCCATGTGTAAATGCCTCTGCTCACTTTTTGTTATAATATTTTCTATTTATTATAATGTATTATTATAATATTAATGTTGTATTTCTACAACATCTAGAATCTTATGACAAAATAGGTTATAAAAACCGACGAGTACATATGACACCTGATTTCAAATTAACTTTGTTTGTATTTTCCAATTCCGGCTCTGTATTATTTCTTACCAAATTATTATTAAATTGTACAGATAAAAATCACGTTGCTAACGATTTCGACACCAAGTAATCATTTTAATTGTTTTTGTAGTCATGGATACATATTGTTTCCTCCACTTTCTTTTCTAATTGTTCATCTAAAACGGTGCATTTTACTTAATGAGGGAAGTAAAAAATTTCGAACAATTTTAAAGGAATTAAGTGATATATCTTGTGTGACTTGAACGTTTATCATTACGGATTGTAGGCATAATTGTTCTCTAAAAAATATCACAAACTGTTAAATTTCTACTGTTGCGGGCACAGATTGTTTTAATTGAAAGGTGATTAATGTTGACGTCAAATATTACTGTTAAAATTAAGGATATATTTGTTAACCAATAAAAAATGATCACAACCTTTAATTATGTGGTGTTTGTGGCTTTGACAAAAACATATCGTAGTGTACCTTCAAGACAACTATATAAAAACCAGCAAATATATCCGCATGGTACAATTTTATAATAATATAATAGCATATATTAAAAATGGCAAAACAACCTTAGAAAAAATTCAAATTAGTAAGAGCTTAAAACAAAGATGCCGTATATCACCAACACTCTTTAAGATACATTTAAATAAAGACCTTAGTACATGGAGAAGAAAATATAAAAATATGGGTAAACCAGTAGGTGACGACAAGATTTTCACATTACATTTTGCAAACGATCAGGCTTTTATAGCTCAGAATGATAAGGACATAGAGTACATGCTTAGAAAATTGATCGAAGAGTACAATTCTTACAATAAATAAGACAAAAACAAAGTATTTTGTTGCTGAAGTTAAGGGCCAAGATCTCTATAAAGGGACAAAATCGAAGCTACGGATAACTTGGGTGTGAAATTGACATCAGATGGTGGTGAAAGTGACAGTGAAATAATATCAAGAATGAATCAGGTACGTGTAGCCACAAGACAGCTAATCAGTTTGCTATGAAGTAGAAATAAATAAACAAAATAAAAATGTATGTATAAAACATCCATAATTAATGCAATGGAAATGGACTACTGCAGATGGGTCTATAGAAACCCCAGACTAGATAAAGAAATAAAATAAAAAGAAATCATTAAACTAAAACAACTCAAGTGGTATGATCACCTGAAAAAATTTACGGATGATAGATGGCCACGAAAAATATGGAAGCGCACTCTGGTCACTAGAAGAAAAAGAGAAAGACCAAAACGTTGTTGGAAAGGTGGTGTAAAAGAGGCCATGGAGAGAAGAGGTCTAAGCGACTAGAACTGCATATATACACCACTCTGCCTTTAAATTTAGTAGGTAGAGAGTTGTTAAACGGAATCTATCATCTAGAATAATTAGAAAGAAACCTAATAAGGAATTGTAATATTTTGAAAGAATTTGGGTAAGTAAACTGAAAAAAGATGCTTTAGTAATGTTCTTAAGTATTAGGATAAATTTTAAGGTTTTTAAATATACAGGGTGACAATTGAGAATAGGACGATTCTGAACTAAATGGTACAAAAGAAATTTGCAAGAAAATGTTATTTTATTAACATCAAAATGAAGCTTATATTATGCCATTTACAACCTAATTAATCTGGAAAATAATGTCATCAAGATGGTGACCATCACGTTGAATGCAATTTTCGATCCACTTTATGAAATCCTCCATAACACACTCTAACATCGCTCGATCAATAGTCAGGATTTCCTGGCGAATTACGTTCTTCAACTCAATCAAATTTCGAGGCTTGCTAGCATATACACGACTCTTTAAATTCCCCCATAAAAAATTACAATTAGATAGATCTGGAGATCTTGGAGGCTATGGACAAATGAGTTGTCGTGGGAACAGTTTGCGGAGAATATTCATTAAAGCATGCGCAGTACGTGCCGTGGCACCATCCTCCTGAAACTACATTCTTTGCGTTTATCCATTTTCTGCGTAGTTCAGGAATCAAAAAATTTTGGATCAAGTCAACGTAGCAAATAGAATTAACGGTGATAGTATGATTAGCTTCTTCGAAAAAGTATGGCCCAATAATGCCAGTCGGACCAATGGCTCACCACAATGTGACTTTTTGAGAATTTCAAGGATGTTCATGGAGATATCGTGGGTTTTCAGGAGCCCAGTACCTGTAATTCTGTTTATTAACGGTTCCGTCCACATGGAAATGAGCTTCGTCGCTCATTAGAAGATGTTGGAAGAACGCGGATATCAGGAGAATACTGATTTGGATAAAAACTATATGCTGAAAATTACTTTGCAATTCAAGTAGTACAAATAACCAAAGATCAAACCATCAGTATCGGTTCTTAAAAATAGTCTGCAGAAACTAACCCTCAATATCATATGAGTTTCATTAATAAAACAAATTACGTTTATTTTACTTAAATAGTACAGGGAATATTTACCTTCACTCTCCCTTGACGGTGATTTATCTGTAGTGTCTTGCACAGAAAGATTTTTTGATTTTTCTAACAATAATTCTATATTTTTCCCTTCGGGAGTATTGGCTAAGTCGGATCGCAATATACTGCAAAGAAAACAACGCATTAGTAAAGTAAACTAACTAGCTGATTATTGGTTTGAATGAAAACCAATATGTTTGTAAAGACGATTCCTACTTTGCCTCTCAGTTTGACTAATATACATTAAAAATCGGCTGCTTACCTGATTTCTCTTTTCATTTCTTCATAATCCTTTTGTAAATCCAATTTGTTTTCTAATCGTACAATCTGTTGTCGTTTTTGTTCCAATTGGTCTTCTAAAATAGTAATTTGGGACATGGACGACTCCTGAAGTTTCGTCAGACATCCCTGTAGCCTTTGTATTTCTTCTACTAGTTGATTTATCTGCAACAAAAGAAAGAAAGCGATAAGTAAAATGTAAGAAAACAAACAAATGGTCACAATAGTGTTCGAAATTGTCTTACAAAACTTTTGATCATCTCGTGTTAAAACTTAATGGTAAATGAGTAACGAAACCGGTGTCGTTTCTTAAAGAGTTTTATTCATATTTTTTAAAATTTAACATGGTAAAAAGCTTATGGAATGCATATAAGTAGTGCATAACGAATAAAATTTCGGTCTGTGCAACAATTGCTCTAAGGCAAGCTAAATCAATTGACAAGCACCTCTTTGTCTTATTTCTTTTATTATACTAACAAAGTGCTTTTATGTTTTGTAGAGGTCTTTATTAACCACACAACTCTATTGCTGGATACTACAAACATTATTATAAAAGTTTTGAACAAAATCCCAACATAAAAAGTGTAAGGCAACGTGAGAAGTTGAGGCATGAATCTGACTTGATTGTCGCGCTCTTGGCGTCGATACACAAGGGCACGGAGAACCATGAATTATCCTGAAACAAATAAATTCACTGATCGTATTATCGATTTATTTCCGTTCACTAAAGGCAACCCTATATCATGAATATTGCAATATACATTCTGAGAAACATTTCTCAATTAATCGAGCAGAAGGGTGCCTCTCCACCCCATGAAATTAATCAATGCATCTGAAATTCACCTTATAGGGTAGGATTAATATAATGTCTTCATTTTCCGTAGCAATTGATTGATTTTGATGCTACGTCATCACTAATTGTAAGTTTGTGTAGTAAGTTTCTTAGGATATTGGATTTTGGAGGGCGAAAGCGAAACTCTTCGATTGGAATGAAATGATTACTTCGCGCTAATAGCGATTACGTCGTTACAGGAGAAAAATTCGATATAATTTAAAAGACACGCTTTTACATTAATATTTTAAAGAAAATTAACTTAGATAAAAAAATTAGGTATAGGCAATTAACTTAATATAAATATATAATGGAAATGTCATCTTTCCTTTTTTTGTATAGACATGACTGTCTGTTTTTAATGTGTAAGTTGTCATTCTATCGTTTTCGTACCCTTCATACTCTCATCTTCGTTGTGGAGAACCGCCTCTCTCGTCTGCGTAGCAGAATATTTTATTATCATCAGGTTTCAGGTTGAACAATAGAGAACTCTAAGAATCTTCCTCTATTATCCCATTGTCAGCTTCATTGGAATTCTTCTATTTTTACTTTTATTGTGTTGTTCTGATAGATATTTTCGATCGATTTAATTATTCTCCTTGCGTGTAATAAGTAGATAACGTCCTTTAACTGTTAAATACATTATTGCACTTGTCTCATTATAAATATAGGGCATGATCTTCCGAACCATGATAATGCAAACGTATCTGGGTTTATCCAATAATTTAGCTGTGGTGGCTAAATCAACAATAATCTAATCGAAGTCTAGAAGGATAAAAATTCAAGTATTTTTATTTTCGTTGGTATATATTTAAATCCCCTCGGGGAGGTTGTTAAGACAAAACGCGGCGAGTGTTGGCGTTAAGAAGCCGGCAAATTTGTAAATTATACTCAATGTAATGTGTCAGTTTTGAAAGAGTAATCACCGTGTTTTTTTTCTATGCCGTCTCTCATCTGAGATATTTGTAAAATGGAGTTTACAACAGGATAACCACATGTTGCCATTGTTCCAGTTGCATTCCATTTATATTCCAGTTTTTAAGAAGCCGAGTGTCAAATTTTGCGTCCCAGTGTAAAGCTTCCATCCTCATTTTGGTTGTCCCAGGTCATCAGTTAGAGATGCATTTGCAGTTCTGACCCCAGAAATTTAAAAGAAAAAAAAGTAACATTTACTGAAATCCAGGTAACATTTTTTGTTGAACTTTTATAAAGACATTTGTCATAAATAATTGGTTTCATAATAGGTTAAAAAATTGTAATAATTAAAATTATAAATGTTAGGGTGTGGTTAAGCTGTCATATTAATTATTCCCAAAGTTTAGAATTTAGTATTGACATATGACAGTTAGCTTTATTTTCTTGACACTTGATACATACCTGATAGAATATAGTAAGTGTTTTTCTTTGTTATTTTGTATTTATTTTTGCAACTATTTATATATTATTTTTTGTAAAAAGGAAGAACCTTTTCTTTCATCTAGAAGGAAGATTCTTCTAGCGGCATCTATTTTAAATAGCTTGAAAACCTTCTTGTGTTTTGCTTGTCCAGGAGATTCTAGTAAGTACCCTTTTTGCTTTACTTTTAGTAATTACCAGATTCCAGCCTTGTCATTCACTTATTCACGATCCAGCTTTCCAAATAAACCCTGAGTTGCCGTTCGCAGACGTTTCGGTTTGTTTTGCTTACCCTATCTCTACCCCATAATTTCTGTCCCCATTTTTCAACCCCCTATAGTAATACCCTATATGGTAGGCAAAATAATCGTAACAATATTAAGAAAAATACAAGAGTTATTAGAGTTTAGAGCAATTGGTTCGCTAAGGTGTAATCTTTATCTACTTGATGGTTTTAAAAATTAAACAAGGGAACAAGAATATAAAGACATTTCAAACAAAATAGCCAAGAAAATGAAAAATATAGAAGTTTTTAAAGAAAAGGAAACACATGCGTTAATTTTAATTAAATTAAATACTTATTAAATAATAAAATATATCGACTGTCCCAATTTATTGTTTTTTTTTTGTTGTTTTATTAAAGAAAAAAATTTCTAATAAAGTTATTGGGAATTTGACGTATAGATCTCCCCTCGTATTCAACTGCTCCAATCGACAGCACCCGGTCTGAGCTTAACTCCAACTCTAAAAGCACGATATGCAAAAACCCCAACCCTTGTAAGGTATCGGTTTGAATTATTGTTTTAAATATATCAACCCTGAATTCCCCTTCTGTTCGATTTTATTTTTTACTTTTAATAGCCCTGCGTCGGATTATAAAACTAAGGGTTTCCGACCCAAAAAAACTCCGGATGAATTATGCCTCGAAGTGGAAACGAAGAAGACGATTTTTCATTTCGAAGGTATTGTTATCGCAGATCCTATTGCTCACTTCGAACTCAAATTATAAGACAAACGAGCCGTTGGATATATTTTGTCGAATCATTGGGCAAACAGCAATTTTTAGTTAATAATTGTAATATTTTTATGCCTTTTAATTCATTTTTGGTTTGTAGTAATATAACAAAACTGGATTTCAAAAATGTTCTAATTTTTTAAATTTTGGCGAAGGAGCTGGTGTAAAATTATTTAATTTGGCGGTTTTTCAACTGCTTGTTTTTGGCTACTGCACGTTAATAAAGCGACTACTCATAAAAAAGAGATAAGGTTACTTTTGGCAATCATGTTATTCATTCTATATCATTAAGTATATATAGATACAGAACAGCGATGGAAGAAGGTTAGCATGTTCATCAGTGATAAAACTACTAAAATATGTCAATCTTATGGCATAGATCTCACAGTTTATGCTATATATCTTTCCCTAAAGAAATTGCTTCTATTTGGATCAATTGTAATATTTACGGACCCCTGAGAAGTTTTAATTCAATCTCTAAAAGTGTGATATTAACCAAAAAAAAGAGACTGTCGTTTAAATTATTTGGACACATAAAGTTTACAACAATTCGACATTAAAAGCGCGAGAAACCCACAGTGGACGCGTTTAATTAAATATTTCGTACACGAAAGTGGTAAATGATTAAAAACAATCATAAAAAACTGAGCCGTTTCGTTCGGTAGCAATGACTTATGAAATCGCCTTTGACTCACCCTAAAAATTCGCGGACCAGTGCGATTATTGGCCGGGTGTAGTCATTTTCCGCGACGAGACTTCGTCAGGACCGCTGGCGGTATATTATTTTTTGTTTTGATCGCTAATAAATTCTGTTGTTATCACGAAAGGTGATACGGAGCGAGGTAGGACTTATTTCGGATTGAGAATTGTCAATACGAGGGCGTGATTACATTTTTAACAATGGCAATGAAATTTATAGGTTTAAAATTATTTATTATTATTATGAGTACTTATAATTTATTTAATAGTCACAGTATATGATATTTCTTTTTTAGGTGACAAAATGAATTTTTTCATTATATTTCTTTCTTCTTAGTCATCCAATAAATGTAATTACCTTAACAAAAGCAGCAGCTACCAAACTGAGAGTCACGCAGAGAAGAATGGAGCGGTCTATGTTAGGAATAACTCTCCGAGACAGAATAACAAACGAAGACATCAGGAGAAGAACCGGAGTGACTGACATCATCGAGAAGATAGCCAGACTAAAATGGAGATGGGCAGGACACATAGCCAGAATGACAGATGGGCGATGGACAAAGAGGTTATTGGAATGGAGGCCAAGGGAAGACAAGAGAAGCGTCGGTCGACCACCTACAAGATGGACTGACGATTTAAGAAGACTCAATAAAAACTGGATAAGAGCGGCGCAAGATAGACGGGGTTGGAAACATGAGGAAGAGGCAGTGGCTAGAAGGGCTATGTTCAGCAGTGGACTCTTGAGGCTGGATGATGATGATGATGAAATGTAATTAACAGATTTGAAAACAGGTATTGTCGAAAGATCGAAATAAATATCGTTTGGCTCAATTTCTCTATGAGTATTTAAAAGAAAATTTATGGAAAAATTGTTACATAAAAGAGTTTCAAAATAGAAGAATATTTGTTAAAAAAGCAGCATTCGGATTAGTATTGGACTTTTGTATAAAATATAGATTTATGTAAAAATGCATATTTAGCATTGAAAAAAAAAAATAATAAATGATGATGGTTAACAAAACTTTTGGATTCTTTCTATTTGCCGTCAGGTAATAAATATAGAGGTATAATTGGACGAATGAACAAAAAAATTTGTTATTTAAAAATCACTGGATTAAAAACTGTGATAAAGGACTTATATAGTTCACACCAACCGTAATCATTTACTTATTTAAG